CTCTAAACATATCCCTGTCTCTGTTTCAGCCTGGAGGAATGCAGGATGATGTCATCAGCCAAGCGACCTCTATGGCTTAACTGGGAAAACCCAGATATGATGTCAGAGCTGCTCTTTCAGAACAACGAAATCATCTTCAAAAATGGAGATGGTGAGTTTGTCTCTGTCTTTTCCCCCATGTATCTTTCTTTCCGCCTGTATCTCTTTGTCCACACACACACAGACTTGCTCTTGCTGAGCATGCAGCATATTTCATTCAAGCCTGTAGGGCATATCATGGCACACAAACACAACCTCATCTATGCTCGTTACACAGATTTCAGTAAGAACAAGTCACGTTACTTGAATCACACTTTACCGCAGCTGCTTGTGCATTTTGCTGCAACATCTGTGACCAAACTGACTTTGACAGCTCTGCTCCATAATGCATCATGGAGTTGATCAAAGAGCAGCTAAGCAGCTGATGATCACCTTACTGTCATCCACCTCCTTGTCTCTCTCTGCCTCCGCAGATCTGAGGCAGGACATGCTGACGCTGCAGATCATTAGGATAATGGAGAACATCTGGCAGAACCAAGGCCTTGATCTCAGGTAGGCTCCTCACTTCACCATGACAGTGAGGATGCAGGTGCACATTAACAAGCACAGGATGCTTTCATGTTCTGCACTCCATACCTGAATGCAGATTAGTGGCAACCCCTGCCAGCCACCTCTAGTCATTTAATATGAAGTCCATCACTACTGTCCTAATTATTTCTGCCTCTCGTATGTTTCTTGCCCTTCCTCTCCCAGGATGCTGCCGTATGGTTGTCTGTCAATCGGCGACTGTGTGGGTTTGATTGAAGTGGTGAGGAACTCTCACACCATCATGCAGATCCAGTGTAAAGGAGGCCTAAAGGGGGCACTGCAGTTCAACAGCCACACACTGCATCAGTGGCTCAAGGATAAGAACAAGGGAGAGATGTGAGTAGCAAAAACTGTGATTCATACAGCTTTTCTGGTCTTCTGAGGCGTAGTGGTAGTGAAAATATAAAGACTAATATGAAGACTAACATTTAAGCATCTTTTTCTTTTATAGTAATAGTTGCATCACTGAATCCTCTCTGAGAATAAAGTATTTATTTGTTTGATTTCTTAGGTATGACCAGGCCATAGATCTGTTCACACGGTCGTGTGCGGGCTACTGTGTAGCCACATTTATCCTGGGCATAGGGGATAGACACAATAGCAACATTATGGTCAAAGATGATGGACAGGTAAAGATTACATTTTGACATAATTTATATTTTACATATGCATACTTTCTGAAATCATTATTTAATGACTTACTTTGCTTATGTATTCACAGCTGTTCCACATAGACTTTGGCCATTTCCTCGACCACAAAAAGAAGAAGTTTGGGTACAAGAGAGAACGTGTGCCCTTTGTGCTCACACAGGACTTCCTGATTGTTATTAGCAAAGGAACTCAAGAGTGCACCAAAACAAGGGAGTTTGAAAGGTAACACCAGCAATACACATGAGCTGGTTGGCTTGGGATGAAAGAAAAGGGAGTTATAAAACATACCAAAGCCAAATTAAAATGGAAGATAGAGCTATTTCTGTGGCATTGTGAGATGGAGCTTTTAAATATGTGGCTGACTTGTAGAATATCCACTTTAATTCCATGCAAGTATCCCCTTTTGTAATTTTTAGGGCTGCACAATGAATAGATATATTATCAAAATGGCCAAGTGCAATATGTGAATTGCAGAAGCTGCTAGAAAACAGCATTATAATGCAGTACTGCGATAAAGATGCCCTGGCCTACATATCTTGTTCTCCAGATGTAATAAAACGTGTGTGTTTGGTACAGACCTCAAAAGATGTCACATCATCATGTTCTATGAAAATGAAATTTATGATCATTCCCACTATTTGTTAATCGTATCGCAATATGATGTTTTTACCATATCATGCAGCCCTAGTCATTTTGTCCTTCTCCTCCCTTTAGGTTCCAGGAGATGTGTTACAAGGCGTACCTGGCAATCCGGCAGCATGCCAACCTCTTCATCAACCTCTTCTCCATGATGCTGGGCTCAGGGATGCCCGAGCTGCAGTCATTTGACGACATTGCTTACATCAGAAAGACCCTGGCCTTGGACAAGTCGGAGCAGGAGGCCCTGGACTACTTCATGAAGCAGATGAACGACGCTCACCACGGCGGCTGGACTACCAAAATGGACTGGATCTTCCACACGATCCGCCAGCATGCCATGAACTGAGAACTGACAACTAAAACAAGAGGAGTAAAGGACTGTGGCAACAACAGCACCCTAAGAACCAAAACAGTAGTGAGAAGCAAGCGAGGTATTTTCCCAAACACACTAAGACCTGGTTAAAACTTCTGCCAGCACGTGACTCTGAAACATTATCTGCCAGCGCACCACTAAATAAGGGTGCTCAGAAGGGTCCGTTTCAGGGACATAAAGCCTAAATTCTCTGTTTCTACAGGTTTCTGAATTTCTCCTCCCTGCACTATGGACTTAAGAAGGCAGGGTAGAATTATATTTCATCAGTCTTTATAGGAACTAAACAAGTGTAATGGACCTCAACTATGTTAGCCTTCTTCACGTGAACAAATTATGGACATTTTCTTATTTGTTTTGTATTCCTTTCAGTACGTCTACATCCATCAGCATTAAGAAAGGAACATCATGAAGTGGTATACCATGAGCACAGCTGGCTTTTTTTTCTAATGATGAACTGACAGAACATAACTCAATTATTTCCACTACCTATTTTGAACTCATGAAGATGGGGGAGATAACTGCGCACGCAGCCACCGACAATGAGAAGCCTGGCGGTGTGCGCACAAAATAACAATTCCCCCTTACAGTCATAAAAAAACAATCATCAACACTCTTACTAGAGGACTGACAGAGAACGTGTTGTCAAACACATACCTAGCATTTAATTCTTTTGGAGCAACTGAAATAACGACTTATTTGTAGCTGACAGATAACGTGTCCTCTCTTTAGAGGTCACGCCAGATAACTGACTTTTGTACAGCAGTATATCCATAGACTTGTATGCATTCAGTGCACATATTCCTTTTTGAGTCTATCTTCTACTGAGCCAAAGTACTAGATGTGTAACCCCATTATTCAGCAGTCTTAATGTAAAAAAAAAGAAAAAAAAGTCACTACTATTCCAAGCCACATGTGTACTCATAGCACTGATCTCTGCAGTATTTTGTTTTTTTGTTGTTTTGTTTTGTCTTATCAGTATTATTCTATCAGATGTTAAGGCACAAATGTCCGTTGTACACCCCATGCAGTTGACCCGGCGAAGTGTTCTGATGGTCAGCTGTATAATATGTTATCAATTGGTCTTTTGTTATTCAGCTGATAAAGGCAAAAAAATGCAGGGGAAAAGGATGTGCAGTGTTCCTTTTGTGTGCTGTGCTGTTACACTATGCAAGTTGTGATCCTAATATGTACTGTATACCACAAAAAAAAAAAAAAACAGTTGATGTCAGAGTAAGGCAGAGAGAGAAATGCATCTCCCTCGACAGGCTCACACAGAGCAGTGTGTCAGTGGACTTTGTACAGACAGCACATGGAAGAAAAAAAGTGCTGCACTGTAACAGAGTAGTCTATTTCTTCCCAACAAAAAGAACTGAGAAACGCCTTTGGACCCTGCCTTTTGCTTCTCCTTACCAGGTTTATATTTGAGCTTCAATCTAAGCCATGTGTAAAATGTTTGGAGTCTTCTTGTTCTCGGTCACACGTACAACAGATCATTTTAGACGCCCTCTCTCTCTCCTCACATTTGCCATATGGTCCCAGATCGTGACATCCAGGTAAAGAAAAGTAGCCGAAGTGAATCTTTTTTTTTTTTTTTAAACCTTTAAAGTGTCTTCTTCCCTCCTCTTTCCTCTGATTGTCACCCTTTTCTGTGGAAGAATAGTCTTGGCAGGTTCGCTCACTGCACAGACACATGCGTAGGAGGTCAGCAGATGTTCTAGCTTTACCAAATGATACACAACGGGGCGGTTTCCTGGACACTTCCAAGTCTTTCTGAAAGTCCAATTTTTGTTTTCTGTAAATGAGTAAGGACTTAAAAAATGCTCAGGAAACCGATCCTACTGAGATGCTTCTGTACAGGCTACAGAGCGGTGGGCCGGACCCAAACTGAGAGAACTAGACCCTATTTACTTTATGGAAGAACTATCTAAATGATGCTATTTCCCTTTGTACTTGTTCTGGTTGTTTTCTGTTTCTCACACTGCATTATGCATGAGGTCCTTGAATATCTACTTTTTTTTGTTTGACCTGATGTTGTTTACTTGAATTTCATGTATAGAAATGACCTTGTTACTTGTGTGAGGTACAACAAAGTCACAATGAAGGTAACAGATACTGATAACTGCTACTACATGTGCAAATGCTTTCCTTGAATAACTACAGAGGTAATATATTTTTGTATTTTTAAACATAAGCAAACTCATATATGTAACTGCTAACCAAAAAAAAAAAGGAGGAATCATGTATAACATGCACCATCCTCATACAAAACCCAGTAGACAGCTTCTAGTTGTTGAAACGATATGAATGACAAAGCAGAAGAGAATTGTTGAATGAAGGACAAGGACTTGCTGCTGTTGTCAGAGTACGGTCTTTAGTTAAGTGAGGATCTCTTGCCCTGTGTGGAAGTCTGTAAGCACAATAAGGTGGAAGAGGCTACGCTGCATGTTTTAAAAAGAACCAGACTCATATGTTAGTTATCTATTCATTTGTGTGTATATGTGTGTAT